GCAGAGGGAGAAACAGACTCCCTGCTGAGCAGGGAGCCCGATGTGGGACTTGATTCCGGGACCCTGGGATCGTGACCTGAGCAGAAGGCAAACACCCAACCGACTGCGCCACGCAGGCATCCCTCAAATTTTCTCTTTTCACAGAGAATAAGATTCACAGCCATTTTGCCCATCATAACATAATTAAAATAGAAACTCTTTTTAAAAATATTTATTTATTTATTTTAATTTTTTTATTTGTCAGAGAGAGAGAGCAAGCAGTAGGCAGAGGGAGAAGCAGGCTCCCCGCTGAGCAGGGAGCCGGACAACATGGACAACATGCGTGGGGCTGGATCCCAGGACCCTGGGATCATGACCTGAGCCAAAGGCAGACGCTTCACCCACTGAGCCACCGAGGCACCCCTAGAAGAGAAACTCTTCTTTTTTAAGATTTTATTTATTTATTTGACAGAGAGAGAGACAGCGAGAGAGGGAACACAAGAAAGGGGAGTGGGGGAGGGAGAAGCAGACTCCCTCTGCTGAGCAGGAAGCCCGATGTGATGCGGGGCTCCATCCCAGGACCCTGGGATCATGACCTGAGCCTAAGGCAGACGCTTAACGACTGAGCCACCCAGGCACCCCTAAAGTAAAAACTCTTAATAGTAGATATTTATGTTCGCAAATCCTTCTAGTTCTAAGATTTATAGTACTTAATGAAAGGCTAAGCCAAACCTATTTTAAAATAATAATAAATGGGGAAGCCGCGCTAAGGAATCCAGGTGCTGAAAACCACTTGTTATTCAAATGGATCTCCTCTCCCCAGGCTGGAGTGCAAAGAAGCTAGGAAGGGGCTTGATGAAACGAAAATAAAAGTTGCAATACAAACAGGTCATCTCTCCCTAGAAATTTAGGGGGAATAACCTTGTAGAAGCAATTTTGATTCGTCTGGAAGAGAGAACAGTGCCCCCTGAAAGATGCAAGAATGATTGTCCATATCACACCCTTATTTAATGGACATGGTTAGCCTGGAGATGAGTAGCGGGTAATTGTAAAATTAATCAGGTTGTGACTTGCAGCTGCTATTCCAGATGATGTTGCTTTTCTAGAGCGAATCAACACAGCCCCTGGTACCTGGTAAGTGCCTATTTGCCTGAAAAATGCTCTTTTCTCTGTTGCAATCAGCAGAGGCTGTCGGAAGCAGTTTGCCTTCATCTGGCGGGAACAGAAGTACGGCTTTAGTGCCTTGCCTCAGGGCTATGTCTCTCCTCGGGCTCCCTGCCCTAATCCAGGGTGAGTGGAACTCCATTTTTGCAACGATCATGGTGAACATCAGGCTGGTCCATTATATTGAAGACATTATGCCTACTGGACCTGGTGGATCAAGAGGTAGTAGTTACTTTATTAATAAACATGTATGCCAGAGGACGGGAGATAAAGCCCATGAAAACTCAAAAGCCTGGCCCTCGGTAACATTTTGAGATGGGCTGGACCATGTTGGGTATTCAACAGGTTGCTGCACCTCATGCTACCGACCACCCAAAAAGAGACACAGCATTTGCTGCGGTTCTTTGGATTCTGTAGGCAACATACACTACATTTCATTGTTCCACGCCTGGGGTGCCTGGCCAGCTCAGTCGGTAGAGCCAGACTCTTGATCTCAGGGTTGTGAATGCGAGTCCCATGTTGGGGGTAGCATTTACTTAAAAAAAACAAAAGTTGCAAAACTGTTGTACACCAATGCATTGAACAAGTAATCTGTGAGGCTGCGTGTGTTCAGCAGCACAGAGGGCAAGGAAAGACTCCGTAGCAGGTCCGGGCCACTTGACCTTTATGATGACGTAGATCCAATATAACTAGAGCCTTTGACACGCTGGCAGGCTACATGGAGCCTCTGGCCAGTCCTAACAGGAGAAACATTCAGTGGACCACCGGCGTTTTGAAGCAAACAATACATTCTACCACAAAAGAAGTATTTTCCTTTGGATCAGCAGCTGCGGTAAAGTCTGAATGCCTTGCCATGGAGCACCAAGGAACCATGTAACCTTAGCTGTCCCTGATAAATTGGGTGCTAACTGATCATCCAGGGCAAGTGGAGTATTTGAGACCAGACTCAAGCAGGTCTGGAAGGTATAAGAAAGTTGCTCGAGCAAGTGGCTCCCATCTCTGGGGGCCCTACTACTGTATGGCAACCTTTTCCTTGACTTGTAACCTCGTAGGGAGTTGTCCATGACTAGGTATATTGGTCAGAGTCTCAGAGGGAAGCGAATGGTAGACTCAGTGGGTTGAACTGAGGAGAGCATGAGGGTTTGTTTTTTGTACAGAGGTGGGAGCAAGGTTAAGGGAATCTGCAACTAAGTGGTGAGGCTCCCAGGGCCTGCGGTTGGGGGAAAATATGCTGAAAGGTGGAGGTTCTGTCTTAGAGGATGAGGGAAATACTTTGAACTGGTGCTCTATGGTGTAGTTTCTCCACAGCCAGAATCCCTGGTTTCAGGAATCAGGAGGTGAAAGTGGGAGCAACTTCTCTACTATCACACCTAATCTACTGCCTAGGTGTTTCTTTCCATCCCCACAGCTTTGAGCTCAGCTGGTTCCCAAGGAAAGAGTGCTTCTACCAAGGCCACGACATTGGTTCTATTGAATTGCAAGTTGAGATTGCCATCTGGCCATTTAGGGTTGTTTATGCCACTGAATCAACAGGCAAACCATGGGTCTACTGAACTGGCTTGATGGTTGATACTGTTGGTTATCAAGTGGAAAAGTGTTGCTGTTAAACAACGGGATTGGGAAGGACTCTTACCTGCAATGCAAGTGATCCCCTGGACACCTCCGACTATAGCCACGCTAGGCAGGACCACTGAGGATTAAGACTCGGCGGTGGGGGGTGGGGGTGGGGAGAATAAAGGTTTGGGTCGCTCACAACATAAAGAATTCTGACCACCTGAGTTCTTGGCTGGAGAACAAAGGGAGGACAGAGAGGGTAGTAGAAGAAAGAAGATTATAAACACCAATTATGGTCTGAAGACCAGTTACAGAAATAAGGATTGTAGTAACTGTGTGTATGTGTGTGTGTGTGTGTGTGTACATACAAAGTTTTTCAATCTTGTTTCTATATTTTATACATATCAAATAAAGGCTGATAGAGGTTAGCTTTATAGTGTTTTTCTTTAGGTTGTAGGATATTGAGGTGGGGTGATGTTGGAACTAGAAGAGCAATGACTGTCCCCTAGAGATGGCTACAATGACCAATGAAACTTTTGGTCTCCTGTTTTAAGGAGTGCTTTTCAGTTTGTAGGAGGGATAGCAGCATTGTTTGGGCGGGAGCAAGCTGTTGTGGCTTTAGTGAGTTTATTTTGTGCACAGGGTGTCTATAGTATTGACTAGCTAGGGGGTGGACTGTGGTGGATATGTGGTTTTCCTCCTATTTGGAAAGGTGGGAGAGCTAAAAAAATAAAAAGATATTTACCATTCTCCCTTGAACCTGGATTTCTAGATGCGAATTAGGTTCAGCTAATCCGATACACTAGTGCGAGATTTGGAAAGCGGGAGGGAAGTCGGGGATTGCGGTGGTGGTGAAGGTCAAGTGGGCTCTGAGAGGTGGGAGTGCAGGCAGTGGCTGGAGTCCAGCTTTGTGAGAGTAATAGTGTCTGAGTGATGTGACCTTGGAGCTGAGAAGTCTCTTTGTAAGTCCTAGAAATGACGTCGCATTTATTTCTTCCAAGCGTCACTTTCAAGTGAGAGGTATCACACCACGGGAAAAGAGCACTATGGGTCAGGTAAATGAGCATCGTGGGTGCTGATCCTCACTGTGATTATCAGTGCTTTTCTGTTTACAAAGTATGTTGGCCCTGGCCCCTGGCCCGTGATCCCTATTTGTGTGGGTTTGGACAGGTGATGTTATTGTCCTGTTTCTCATTTTACTCAGAAGCAAAAATGAGGCAATGAGAAGGCCCATTGATTGTGCATATCCCATAAGATCATGCCCGCCAAGTGCTTGGCATAGTAACTGGCACTGCAGAAGGTCTCAATCAATGTTAGCTCATTATTGGGAGCTCAATCAATGTTAGCTCATTGTTGTTATTGGTATTATCTAAAGTGCTCGGCGCACCCTGTGGCACGACCATTCTTAGACCCAGCGTTGAAAACCCCAGAGGCCTGGAGACTGCAAACAGCACCTCCAAGTTGTAACCTTTTGAATTGGGATGCTCCGGGTTCCGGAGGACATTTGAATAGCTCTGCAGCCGAGCTCCTCGCTGAAATACAATGATCTTTGGGGGAGGGGCGCACGCGAGCCATTCCTCGGCAAACAATCTAGGGCAGCGGGGAAGTCGGAGGGGAGTCCTGCTTCCCTTCCTCCCTCACCGGGTCCCTCGCAGGTGCGGGTCCTAGGCTTCGGCTCCCGTAACCCTGGGGCCCGGAGCCGCGGCGCGCTCGCTCGAAGGGGTTTCCCCGGCCCGGCCGCCCGCTCCCCGCGCCGTCTGGGCCGCGGGCGGT